CGAGTGCCGGGCGGGACCGTCCCCGGGCGGGCACTAGGCGCCTCCCGACCCGGGCGCCTGTGAACATCAGCCTCCGCGCACACTACTGACACGGCCGGCAAGTCCGCGTCTGCAGCCAAATTGAGACGGAGGAGCGCTGAGGGACACAGTCCAAAGCCGGGTTTTGCTGGGCTTAGTGGCGCACGCCTGTCGTCCCAGCCCTGGGGAGGCTGAGCCAGGAGGATCCTGGCGAATTGAAAACCAGCCTGGGCTACAAAGTGAGCTCGCGACCAACATGAGCTACACGGTGTGAGGGACTCTCAAAAACCAAAAGAAATAAATGCAGCTGGATTTGGTAGTATATGCCCGTCATCCCAGCACTCCAGAGGCCGAGGCAAGAGGATGGCCAAGCTACATAGTGAGCTCAAAGCCAGCCTTGACTCCCTAGTGTGACTCTGGCCCCAAAAAATCAAAAGGAGGAAAAGGGGCCGAGGATTTAGTGTCAGTGTCACCACACCTGCTTGGCACAAGGTCCCGACTTCAATCCCCGGTACCAAAAGGAGGGGGGGAAGGTCTGGAGCACAGGCTGCACCTGGCAGGCTCAAGTGCCTGGGGGTGTGGCCCCTGCCAGGACAGTGACAGAGGCTGTGCCCTCCCCAGGCCCACGGCCTGTGCCTGCCCAGGACCCCCAGGGTGAGCGACGCGCCCCCGGTCAACGTCACCCTGTACTACGAGGCGCTGTGCGGGGGCTGCCAGATGTTCCTGGTGCGCGACCTCTTTCCGACCTGGCTCCTGGTGCTGGAGATCCTCAACGTCACGCTGGTGCCCTATGGGAACGCCAAGGTGCGTGGGCTGGGGGAGCTGAGGCAAGGGGCAGGGCAGGGACTCGCCTGTCACCCACTCACAGGCCCGGGGTCCTGCAGGAGCAGAGCGTCAACGGCTCGTGGGTGTTCCAGTGCCAGCATGGCGAGGAGGAGTGCAAGCTCAACAAGGTGGAGGTGAGCCGGCGTCCCGGGGGCGCTGCAGGGGCTGGGGGCGGGGCCCAGGCTCACCCTGTCCCCTGCAGGCCTGCGTGCTGGACCAGCTGGAGCAGGACGCCGCCTTCCTGACCATCGTCTGCCTCGAGGAGATGAAGGACATGGAGAAAAAGCTGAAGCCGGTGAGAGTTCCCATCCGCAGGCGGAAGAAGTCAGTGTTCCCAGCACTCAGGAGGCTGAGGCAGGAGGACCCCAAACTGGGCCATTTAGTGAAACTTCCACCTCTAAAGCAGGACGACACAGGTCTCTTGGCAGCACCAGGACGACGTCCGGCGGGGTGGGGAGGACTGCTGAGCTCTGTTTGTGAGGGAATTGTGCAGATGGCGGGGCACTACGGAAAATACTGCCCAAGGGCTGATTCACCTGCCCCACTTACTCACTCATCAAACATCTAGGCCAGCAGAGGGGCCTCGCCCCAACACTCCCGGCCTGACAGGGCCACAGTGGGGCTGGGGGCGTGGAGAGGAGGAGGAGGAAAGGTGTTCCTGGTGCAGGGAGCAGAACCCAGGGACGCTCAGAGGACAGGGTGATGCCAGGGGGTTGCAGGTCTGGGCTCAGAGGTGTGGCCCGAGCCCCTGCTGCTACAGTGCCACTAGGTAGAGGGGTAGTGGGGCCAACAACCCCCCACCCCCGCAGGCCGGGAGGAAGCCGGTCCGACGGTTGGGGAGATAAAAGAGGTAGGAAGCTGAGGCAAGGCCACGTCCCTCTCGCAGTGTCTACAGCTCTACGCGCCTGATGTGTCTGCGGACAGCATCCTGGCCTGCGCGGACGGGGAGCGAGGGACGCAGCTGCTGCACCGGAATGCACAGCTCACGGACGCCCTGCAGCCACCACACGAATACGTGCCCTGGGTCCTCGTCAACGGGGTAAGGGCCCCGGGTGGCACACACCAGGCATCCCAGTACTCTGGCAGGCCAAGGCAGGAGGGTCGTTAGTTGGTGCCCAGCTTGGGCAGCTTGGTGATTTTGGGAGACCCTGTCTTGAGAGAAACCATCCAAGCCGGGCGTGGTGGCACATGTCTGTAATCCCAGCACTCGGGAGGCTGAGGCAGGAGGATCTCTGTGAGTTCAAGACCAGCTGGGGCTACATAGGGAGAACCTGTATCAAAAAGGCAACCTGAGCTGGGTGGGTCGGCACACACTTGTAATCCCAGCTCTCGGGAGGCTGAGGCAGGAGGATCGCTGTGAGTTCAAGAGCAGCCTGGACTGCATAGTGAGTTCCAGGTCATTCTCAACTACATAGTGGGACCCTGTCTCAAAAAACCAAAAAAAAAAAAGAAAAGAAAAAAAAGAGAGAGAGAGAAATCATCCACAAGGCTGGGGGTGCGACTCGGCTGGAAGTCACTGAGCATGGAGGACCCCTGGTATCATCCCAGCACCGCAGAAGAACGGGACAGGTGGAGATATGAATTTTTCTTTTGTTTCCTGCAGAAACCTCTGAAAGACCTGAGCCAGCTCCTGAGTCAGGTCTGCCAACTGTACCAGGTAAGGTGGGCACACGGAGCCCTGGGCCCCACTGCTGGGGGCGGAGGTGGCGGTATCCTGTGGCGATGCTAGGACTCCAAGGTGCCCTCCTCTCTCCAGGGTGAGGAGAAGCCGGACATCTGCTCGTCCATAGGCAGCACCCGCAGAGAGGTCTGCTTTAAATGAAGGCTGGGGCCCTAAGGGAGCCCACAGAGGAAGAGCAAGAGCCCAGCTGTCCCCTTCTTCCCATCTCCAGCCTCAGCAAAGACAATCCACTAAACAAAGAACTCCTATACATCCCAGAAAGCCCACGCCCAAAGTCTCCTCCTATAATCCAGAATCTTGCCTCGCCGACAGTGGTACTAAATCAAAACTACTTTGATCAATAAAAAACTGTTTAGACTGTTGTGTTTCACTCTTTGTGGATTTTGGTTTTGTTCGTTATTTTTGTTTTGTTTTGTTTTTGAGACAGGGTCTCACTATGTATTCCAGATGGGCCTCAAACTCAGTGATCTTCCTGCCTCAGCCTCTCTAGTGCTGGTGTTAGGGAAGAAATTGGCAAGTGACACACAAGAGAGGCAGCAGAATGGAAGTTAAATTTAAAAAGTTTACTCCATCCATGGGAATCGATGACACCAAATGGCGGTGCCCTGATCGATTCCCCACTGGGTTACAGCTCCTTCTTTTACAGGGTTTTACAGCCTTGATCTCTTTCAGCTGATTACATTGTATTTTCACAGCTCACATTGCTGATACGCAAAACATGGTGGCGAAGCACTTAAATTTCAACCTGGATGCAATTCTTTGTTAGGCGAGGTTAGCTTTAAGAGTTATCGGTTCTAACCTGGGTGAAGGGAGAGCGTTTGGTCAACAAAGCTAACAATGGTCCTTTTCACTTATGAAACTTTTTAGGGAGACTAGATGCTTCCAGTGCGGGTTAATTCTGAACTAAACAGAGCAAAGGGCAGAAGTTACCTTACATTGTGACATCTCTAGGCTTTCACTATTAAAGTTTTCCCTAACACTGGGAAGACCGGACCCCTCTACACCTCAGGCCTAAACACCTGCTGTGTTCCAGCGCCTCGCCTTCGGGTTCCCCCTGCCAGATCTTACTGCAAATTGGAAGAGAAATTCCAAAATGCTTAAGGGAAGATTTTCAAAGAACGCTGAAATTGTGACATATGTAAAGGCACCCAGTAACCTTCGTCCACAGACCCTGTGCAGCTGCAGCAACTCAGAGGCCAAATTTGCCCCAAGAATTCGTTCCTCCTGCTCTACGCAGCCCAGCTGTCAGCAGAGGAGGAAGTTAGAGACGCTTTACTTAGAAATAAGAAGAGGGCCACAGATTTAGCTCAGTGGTTCCACCAACTGCCTCACAAGTGCCAGGGCCCAAGTTTGATCCCCAGTACAAAAAAAAAAAAAAAAAG